GAAGAGAGAGAGAGAGAGAGAGAGAGAGAGAGAGAGAGAGAGAGAGAGAGAGAGAGAGAGAGAGAGAGAGAGAGAGAGAGAGACAGAGAGAGAGAAATGGAAATGAAATAGACCGAGAACTGAAGTAAATGAGGAAGGAGAGAGAGAGAGAGAGAGAGAGAGAGAGAGAGAGAGAGAGACGAGAGAGAGAGAGAGAGAGAGAGAGAGAGAGAAGAGAGAGAGAGAGAGAGAGAGAGAGAGAGAGAGAAATAGGAGGGGGGTGGGAATAGCATCCCTATCGTAAACACACAGCATACCCAACAGTTAAATACACAAAACCTAACCCACTCCACCCACCCCTCCCCCCCTCACACAACAAAAAAACGAAAAATATGTGAGTAATGAACTAAAGCAGATTTTCTACGCCCCTCCCCCCCCTCTCCCCCGCCCCCCATGGTGTCATGTTTGTGATATTCCCATGTTGTCTTTGCCTCGCATTACCTCTTGCATTTCTTTTCATTCCTTTTACTTTGGCATTCTTCTTCTCCTTTCTTACTTTCTTTTTCTGTCTTCTCCTTCCATTACTTTTTTTCTCTTGTGTATATTTCTTTTTGTCTTCTCTTCCTTCATTTCTTTCTCTTTGTATTTTTTTTCTGTCTTCTCCTTCCTTACTTTTCTTTCGTTCTTTTTTGTCTTCTCCTTCCTTCCTTTCTTTCTCTTTGTATTTTTTTCTGTCTTCTCCTTCCTTATTATTTTGTATATTTCTTTCTGTCTTTTACTTTATTCCTCGTTGCATTTCTATCTTGTTTGTTTTTCTCTCTCTCTTTCCTTTCTTTCATACGTTTCTTCCTTCTTTTTACTGGGCATCTCATCTTTAAACTCCTCTACTTAAACTCTTTTCCCTTAATGCTCTTTTTTCCATTAATTCTCATCCTTTTTTATTTACATTTCTTCTCTTAATTTCTCTTCATTCCACTTCCTTTGATTGGCTTTCCCTTCGTGTCACTTCCTTGAACTTTCCTTTTTAAAATTTTCCTTTCCTTTCCCTCTCTTTTGTTTGGGTTTCTTCTTACACTTTCTCCTCATTCCTTTCTCTTTTAGGACGTCTTCCTCGCCTCCATTTCTCTTCTTTGGACTTTCCTCCGCATTTTCCCCTTATTCTTTTCTTCTTCTTCCTCACACTTCCTTCGACTCTACCCCCTTCCTATATTTCTCAGCCTTGGCTTTCCCCTCACACTCACCCATCCCTCATGTCACTTTCTTTACTTTCCTTATCCTTCCTTTCCTTGACTTCCTCTCTTTCCCTTCCTTGACTTCCTCTCTTTCTTTCCCTTGACTTCTTTCTTTCTTTCCTTCCTTCCCTCCTTGCCTTTCTCTTTCCCTTCCTTGACTTTCTCTCTTTCCCTATCCCTCCCTTCCTTGACTTTCTCTCTTTCCCTTCCTTGCCTTTCTCTCTTTACCTCCCTCCCCTTTCTCTTTTACCGACCCATTACCTTCAACCTACCTCCCTCGCTCCCCTCCCGTCCCCCCCCATCCTCCTACCCCCCCCCGCTTCCGAACCAACTTCCTCCCCAAACACAATTTTTTTTCCCGCAATCGTCATTTTCACTATCCCCGGCTATCCTTCGACCCCTCGCCGCCAAGCACCCGCTTCCCGGCCCTTCCCCGTCACCATATTTGGTCCTTTCCCCTCACCATCAGCGTTATCATAAGCTCACTGTTCCCCTCTGTAATACTGCTCGAGGGTTCGGGCTGCATTTTTTTTTTTTTTTTTTTTTTTTTTTGAAGACTGATAAGTCAGAGAGACTATTCCATTATTGGGTGTGTCTTTTTTTCCTATTTTGTAAATGGCAATTGTTAGTAATGGAAATAATCAATAATAATCATTATTATCATTATTATAATAATGATGACGATAATCAAATTACTAATAGTAACTATAATACACTAAAAATAACAACAATAAAAACAATGATAACAATGCCCCCCTCTTTACTTCCCTCCCTCCCACACCCTTTCCCTCTCCCTCTCCCTCCCTCCTCCCCCTTTCCCTCCCCTCTCCCCTCCCCCTTCTCTTCCCCCTCCCCCCCCACTTTCATCTTGAGCAATCAATATTTCTTTTGAACAATCCCGCAACATCACCTGGTTCGTCATGCAACCAGAGATAGTCCCTCGAAAATGGGATTTGCCAGAGAGCTGAAGTCCGCCATTCAGTCAGTCAGTCAGTCAGTCAGTTAAATCTGCACATGCGCGCCGGTCAGTCCATAAACTCGCCGGTCAGTCATTCAGCGAGTCCATTATTGACAGTCGAAATGCCATCCAGTCAGAACACGGTTAGTCTTCAATTACACACTCATGAAGTCTGGCTGTCAATGTCACCATTTCAGTCTACCTGTCTTTAAGCCACCATTCTGTCTGCCGTGTTTGCCACCCTCACAGACAGTCAGACAGTCAGTCAGTCAGTCAGTCAGTCAAGTCAATCAGGTCAGTCAGTAAAGTCATTCAGCCAGTCACCCAACCAAAATACCAATCATTCCCTTCCCTTTAACCGGCTCAAACTCTCCTCTTTCCTCCCTCCTCTCTCTCTCCCTCTCCTCCTCTCACCCTCTCTCTCTCTCTCTCTCTCCTCTTCCCTCTCCCATTCGCAAGCAGGATGATAATTCCCCGCTAATAGGATGTAAAAATGACACGCCACAATATCAGCTATTATCCCAAATCATATGACTCTTCTTTGTAACGCTGGTGGGAGGGAGGGAGGGAGGAGGGAGGGAGGGAGGGAGGGAGGGAGGAAGGGGGGGAGAGGGGGAGGGAGAGAGGGAGAGAGAGAGGGAGGGAGGGAGGGAGGGAGGGAGGGAGGGACGGGAGGGAGGGAGGGAGAGAGGGGAGGGAGGAGAGAGAGAGAGAGAGAGGAGAGGAGAGAGAGGAGAGAGAGAGAGAAGAGAGAGAGAGGAGAGAGGAGAGAGAGAGAGAGATGATAGAGAGAGAGAGAGAGAGAGAGAATTAAGAGAGAACAAAAGAGAGAACGAGAGACAGGAGAGAAAAAGAGGAAATAAAGAGAAATAGAGAGAAGAACAAGAAAAATAGAGAAAAGACCAAGAAAAAAGAGAACAAGAAAGAGAGAGACACTACTCCATTGCAAAGTTGAAAAAAGGCGCGCGCAGTGGTCGGTTGCAAAACTGGATTTGCAAAACCAGATTATAAATAACAATGGGTTTAATGTAATGGGTGCGAGGGGAAGCTAAGGATGCAAGTGAACTGTATGGCAAGTGTGTTTGGTGGCGGATAGGTGTTGGTATGGGGGAATGGGTGTTGGTATGGGGAATGTGTTGGTATGGATGATGGTGTTGGTATGGGGGGTGTTGAGGAATGGCGGATGGTGTTGGTATGCGGATGGTGGTTGGTATGGGAATGGTGTTTGGTATGGATTGGTGTTGGTATGGGGATGGTGTTGGTATGGCGGATGGTGTTGGTATGGCGGATGGTGTTGGTATAGAGGATGGTGTTGGTATGGATGATGGTGTTGGTATGGGGGATGGTGTTGGTATGGGTGATGGTGTTGGTATGGGGGAATGGTGTTGGTATGGGATGTGTTGGGGATGGTGTGGATGGTGTTTGGTATGGGTATGGTGATGGGGATGGTGTGTGGTATGGATGGTGTTGGTATGGGGGATGGTGTTGGTTATGGGTGGATTGGTGTTGGTTGATGGGGAGGATGGTGTTGGTACGGGGATGGAGTGTTTGGTACATTGGGGATGGTGTTGGGTAACTATGGGGATGGTGTTGGTACGGGGATGGTGTTGGTATGGCGGATGGTGTTGTAACGGGGATGGGTGTTGGTACGGATGGTGTTGGTTATGGAGATGGTGTTGGTACGGGATGTGTTGGATGGGGATGGTGTTGGTACGGAGGTGTTGGTACGGGATGTGTTGGTATGGTGGTGTTGGTACGGGAGATGGTGTTGGTACGGAGGATTGGTGTTGGTACGGGGATGTTTAAATGGATTGGTGAGGAGGGTGCATGACGATAAGGTGTGACTGGCGGTGTTGGGTGATGACTGGTGATGACCAGTGACAATAGTCCTGTATCATTAGAGGGATTGGTGGTGATGGGGTGATAAGGGTGTTTGTGATGGAGAAATGGGGATGCGTGGGTGGTGATTTGATGATGCTAGTGATGATGGTGTTCTGGTGATGACTAAAGGTGGTATATAGTGATAATAATGAACGAGGTAATGTGATCGGAATAATGATTGATGTTGTTGTTGTTATTGTTGTTATTGTGTTGTTGTGTTGTTGATGATGATGATGATGATGACACGAATGCAAAATGAACGATTAAAGATGAATTACAACAATCCAAATAGACAGAGAGAGAAAAAGAGAGAGAGAATGGGTAACCCACAACAGAAAAAGACAAACCAGAGAAAGAGAGAAAGAACGAAAGACAGGAAGAAACAAAGAAAGAAAATAAAAGAAAGAGAAGAAAGGAAAGAAAGAAAGAAAGAAAAAGAAGAAAGAAAAGGTAAGAAAAAAGAAAAGAAAAGAAAGAAAGAAAAGAAAAGAAAAGAAAGAAAAGAAAGAAAAGAACAAATGAAAAAAAAAAGAAAAAGAAAGAAAAAAAAGAAAAAGAGAAAAGATAAGAAAAGAAAACTGAAAAAAAGAAAAGAAAACGAAAAAAGAAAGAAAACGAAAAAAAAAGAAAAAAGAAAAAGAAAAAAAAAATTAAAAAGGCACCCCAGGTGCACGACACGTATTCAAGAACCATATGCTTCTCTGCTCCTTCGCCCTCCTCCTCCTCTTCGCTCCTTCGCCCTCCTCCTCCTCTTCGCTCCTTCGGGCTGATTCGTCATCTCACCCGAGGAGGACATTTCAATCTCATCTCTCTCTCATTCTCTATCCTTTTCTCTGTTCTTTATCTCTTTCTTTTTCTTTTTTCTATATTTTTTTTCTTTCTGTTCTTTTCTTTTTATTTTATTTTTTCTCTCCTCTTTCACTACTTTTTTTTTTTTTTTTTTTTTTTATCTTTTCCAGTCTCTTCTCGTTCTTTTTTTATCCCGTTTTCTTGTGTGCTCTTCTTCCTCTTCTCTTTCTCACCTTCTCCCACTCCCACCCTCATCCTTTCCCCTCCTCCTCTGCATGCCCTTCCATCACCTCACTGCACCCCCCCCCCTTTTCCCTCCCCTCCCTCCCCCCTCCCCTTTTTCTCTCCCCCCCTCCCCCTACCCTCATCCTCCCCTCCCCTCTGGTTCATTCCACTCTCGAATTGAATACTTTTTCCTTGACGCTCCTGGGGTCTTCTTTTTTCGTCTTTCTCGCCCCCCCCCCCCCTCATCCTCTCTCTCTCTCTCTCNGTGTGTGTGTGTGTGTGTGTGTGTGTGTGTGTGTGTGTGTGTCCGTTGAAGGTATGAAAATATGTAAGTATGTAAGTAAATGCTAGTATGTATGTGTGTATATACATGCCTATATGTAAGCGTGGATGGGTGTGTATATATATATATGCACCACACACACACACACACACAAAACACCACACAAAAAAAACACACAACACAAACAAACAAACACACACGGAAGTAAATCTGCATGTAATTACGCATATAAAACCTGTATCAATGTCTACCTATGTGTATGTGCGCGTTGCCATGACGACCGCTCCTACGAGAGACACCCCCCCCCCTTCTTACCACGAAGATATAATGTTAATGCTGCTCGTGCTTTCTTTAGCGGATGCAAGATTAGAAGTCTCGGGTGTAAAAAAAGGTGTAATAATATTGATACTGCGTCATTTCTTTGCACGAAGCTGTAGCAGGTGCGTGTGTATTTATAAGTGTGAAAACAAAGAAAGGCCTAAGCAAAGGGAAAAAAGAGAAAAGGCGGGAAAGAAAAGAAAGGAAGGAAAAGGAAAATAAATAAAATACAAGAAAAGAAACTGCGAGAGAGAGGAGAGAGAGAGAGAGAGAGAGAGAGAGAGAGAGAGAGAGAGAGAGAGAGAGAGAGAGAGAGAGAGAGAGAGAGAGAGAGAGAGAGAGACAGAGAGAAACAGAGACAGAGACAGAAATAAGAGAGAGAAGAGGAAACAGGAGACAAAGAATAAGCGAGGAGAACACCCCCACCCCCCGCCCCACACACACACAAAGACACGCCTCTTCCTCCTCTCAAACTGAAATTCCTTCCTTCCCCTCCCCCCTCCCCCTCCACCCCCACACGGATCCCCATTCACCCAAAGAACATTTAACGACGCGCCCAGCAACAATCATTAGCCCCTCCCCCTCCCCCTCCCCCTAAAGTCAATGAATCACACAACACGCTTCAAAAATGCGAAAACCCGCTTCGCTTTCCCCTTTGTCTTCATGCTTCTGTTAGCGGTGTCGAGATAGATCGGGTATCTCCCCTCCCCCTCCTCCCTCCCCTCCATCGCCTTACCTTTCCCCACTTTTCCCCTTCCTTTTTTCTCTCTTTTTCCCCCCTCTCTGAGACGGTGGCCACGCTAGGCCGAGAAGGAGCGAATCGGTTTCTTTCCCCCTTTTCCCCCCTTTTTTTTCCCCTCTCTCAGACGGTGGCCACGCTAGGCCAAGGAGCGAATCGTTTTCTTTTCCCCCCTTTTCCCCTTTTTCCTCCTACCACGCTAGCCGAGGATAGCGATTCGGATTCTTTCCCCCCTTTTCCCCTATTTTTTTCCCTCTCAGACGTGGCCACGCTAGGCCGAATCGTTTTCTTTCCCCCTTTCCCTTTTCTCCTACCACGCTAGGCGAGAAATAGCGATTCGGATTCTTTCCCCCTTTTCCTATTTTCCCCTCTCTCAGACGGTGGCCACGCTAGGCCGAAAAGGAGCGATTCGGTTTCCGATACGGTTAACAATGGGGGGTAGAGTACGGTGTAACGAGTGTGTGTGTGCACCTTGCTTCGCCCCTTTCGCGTACACGCAGTCCGGTCCATTCGAGGATATATACTGACATACGGACACACATAGACAGACGAAGACACAGACACAGACACAGACACAGACAGACAGGCAGGCAGATAGACTTACTGATAGACAACAGACATAGGACAGGTCGTCAGATAGACTTACTGGCAGACAGACAGACAGACAGACAGACAGACACAAACATACACACACACACACACGACACACACAACACACACACACACACACACACACACACATACACACATACACATTACACACACACACACACACACACACAACACACACACACTCACGCAGGGACACAGACGACAGACAAAAATGCACACTGGCTGACTCACCCTCACATAAGTACGCCCACAAGTCCACTGCTGAAGTCATTAACTCTACCCCTTACTCATACAGATACCCCTCTTCACCCATCCCCCCCTCTCCCCTTCTCTCTCCTCTCTCTCTCTCTCTCTCTCTCTCTCTCTCTCTCTCTCTCTCTCTCTCTCTCTCTCTCTCTCGTCTCTCTCTCTCTCTCTTCTCTCTCTCTTACACACACCCATTACAGGAAGAGAAGAGGAGAGGAATGAGAAGAGAAAGAGAAGGAGAAGAGAACAGAGAGAGAAGGAAGAGAAGAGGAAGAGAACGGAGGCAAGAGAGAGAAAGAGAAGTAGAACGAGAAGAGAAGAGAAGAGAAGAAAGAGAAAGAAGAGAAGAGAAGAGAAGAGAAGAGAAGAAAAGAGAAGAGAAGAGAAGAGAAAGAAGAGAAGAGAGAGGAAATATGAGACGGAGACGCCAGCGGACAAGGAACGATTAGAGAGAAGAAACAAAAAAAAGATAGAAGAAGATAAAGAGAAAAAAAAAAACCACAAGGGAAGAAGGCGAACAGGGAGAAACGAGAGAGGGAGAAACAAACAAAAAGAAACACCGGCAAGAAGTGGCAAACACCACCGAACGCACCTCCGCTTCACACTTCACTCTCGGCTCAAAAAAATCCGGCCCGTGACCCCAATCTTCGGTCCCCCGCTTCCCCCGACCCCATACCCTCATCCTCTATCGCCCCCCCCCTTCCCCCTTACCCTTGTCTTGACACACCCCATCCCCCTCCCCTAGCCTCCCCCCTTCCCCTCCCATCCCCCTCTTCCTAGGACAGAAAAACCCTCCCCCTCCCCTCCCTCCTCTCTAGCCCACACCCTCCCCCTTCCAGCCCCGTTCTAATCTCATTTCCCTTTTAAATCTATTTACCTTTGAACGTCTCTCTCCTTTCGTTCTTTCGAAATTCCTTTGTCAATCCTTCTCTCTCCATTTCTAACTCTCTCTCTCTCCACACGACACACTCTCTGACTGTCTGTCTTATCGCCAGTCTGTGTCTGCTCATCTGTCTCTCTCGTCATCCTGATTCTACTCTTCACCACTTTCTTTTCTTCCCTAACTTCATCTTCTTTATCCCTCTTTTTTTACCTTCTCCATTTTTATCTCCATCCTTTTCCCTTCGTCACTCATTTTACTCATCCTCTTCACCCCCCCCCCCCCCTTAAAGGTAAGAAAGAGCACCAGCATTGAGTTGAGCCCTATATTTGAGGTACCACCTAGCTTTTGGCGTCCAGCTGCTTTCAAGGCGTTCTAAACTGAGTCATACTCTAAACACCCTCACTCTCTCTCTCTTTCTCTTTCTCTTTTCTCTTTCTCTTTCTCTTTCTCTTTCTCTTTCTCTTTCTCTCTCTCCTCTCTCTCTCTCTTCTCTTCGCTCTTCTATTGCTCTCTCTCAATCTCATTCTCTCTTTTTCTCTTTCTCTCTCTCAAATCTATCTACTTAACTCTTCAAAACTCTT